AAATAGTAAATTGTATCCTATGCATATTCTAGCATCAAAATTGAGAAATATTAGTAAAAAAGACAATTAAATATATAACAGAAAATACCTACTTAACACAAAAGGAGTCAGTAATTGATGGAGAAACAAACATACTTAAGACATAACAGCAAATTGCAGACACAAATCCTACTTTGTTAGTAGCAACATTAAATGTGAATTATTTAAAGATGCAAATCAAAGGCCGAGTTGGCGGAATGAATTTTTTAAATGATCCAACTACATGTAATCTACAAGAGACACACATTACACATAAATACACTAAAAGTTAAGGATGGGAAAAGATACCTCATACCAACAATACCTCAAAGACAGCCTAGGGAGTTAAACTAAAATCAGACAAAACTGACTTTGAGGGGGAAAGATGTTACTAGATACAAAGTAGGACATTTAAAAAATATAAAAAGGTTAACCCGTGAAGAAAATATACCAATTTTAAATGTATATACACCTAATAACACTGACCCCAAATAATGATCTTAAACTGACAGGATTCAGGGGAGAAATAGACAATTCAACAATGACAGTTAGGAGACTCAATACCCCCTTTCATTAATGGGTAGAACACCTAGGAAGGGTATCACCAAGGAAGTGAGATACTTGAACAAAATTATAAACATGCTACATCTAGTGGGCAACTAAAGAACACTCCAGAATCCCCAGAATAAACTACATCTTTGGTCACAAGACAAGCCTCAATGAACTTTAAAGGCTTAAAATAATACCGAGCATTTCTCTATTAACAATGGAATGAAATTAGAAATCAGCAGTAGAAAAAAATGGAGGATTTTAAAATGTACGAAAATAGAACAACATGCCCTGAACTCACAAGGGATCAATGGAAGATCATGAAAGAAATTAAGAAAATGCTTTGAAATAAAATGAAAGCACAACTTATCAAGACAGGAGATGTAGCTCAAGCAGTGCTTAGAACAAAACGTAAATCTTCTTTAAAAACTTAGAAAGGTCTCAAATTAAGGGCATAGCTTTCTACCCTAAGGAGAGGAGTGGCAAGAGATAGCAAATCTAAACCCAGCAAGCAAGCAGGAAGGGAATGATACTAAGAGCAGGCATAAATACAACAGAGTAGAAAAGTAACAGGGAAAATCAACAAAGCCAAAGTGATCTCCATGAGTATATCAGCAAAACTGAGTGAGATTTTAGCTGGAGTAAATGAATGAGGGGAGGGAAGGACTCAAATTAGTAAAAGATTCAGAAATAAAAGAGGTGCCACAATTACCAACCAAACATAAAAAAAAATCTTGTAAAAAGGAATTATTGTTTTTGCCAATAAACTAAAACACCTAAATGAAATGGACAAATTCTTAGACACAAACATCAAAACTGGCCTAAGAAATAGAAAATCTGAATAGATCGATGTGACAACAGTTAAGTTTGAACTACTACTCATGTATCTCACAAAGAAAACCAGGTCTAGAGAGCTTCTCTGGTGGATTCCACTGAGTCTTCAGAAAACTATCAGGAATCTTTCACAAACTCTTCCAAAGAACTGGAGAGCAGGGAACATTTCCAACTCCTTTTATGATGCTTGTATTGTCCTGGTAACAAAACAAAACAAAAGACATCCCAAGAAGAACGTAGACAAATATCCTTATGAACATAGACGCACAAAACCTCAATAAAGTGCCAGCAAACTGAATTCAAGATTTTAAAAGATGACATACTACGTCCATGCGGGATTTATCATAGGAATACAAGACTGCTTCAACACTGGGGGGGGAAAGCAATTGATACGATAAATTGTATTAAAATAACAAGGAACAAAAATCCAACAATCATCTCGACAGATGCAGAAAATGAGATCTGAGAAAACCCAGCATCCTTTCACAATAAAATACAGAGGACCCTTGGCTTACAGACTAGATCAGTTCAGAGGACTTGGTATAGTTGGTTGTAAGTCAATACAGCTGAGATCTGGATGTTTACCTGGGTACATACCATAGATAACAAGAGGCAGGTGAATCTTCCGTTAACCTAATTAACCCAACTTGTTCATGTCAGGCCAGTCATAACTGGAGGGTCCAGAAACAGAAAACTTCCTCAACCTGATAAAGGCCATCTATCAAAAAACTCACACCAAATACCATATTTTATGGGAAAGTTAAATACCTTTCTCTTACAGTGAAGAGCAATAAAAGGACATCCATTTTTGCAAAATTTGTTTGACCTCATCTTGAAGATTTTACCAAAACCATCAGGCAACACAAAGCAAAGGGCACCCAGATTAGGAAAGAGATAAAAGTTTGCTGATGACATAATCTTGTACATAGAAAACCTTAAGATGTGAAAAAAGCTATTAGAAATAATAAATGAACTCAGCAAAATTTCAGGATATAAGATTTATATCTGAAAATCAATTGTATTAGAATCATTGCTATATACAAACAGAGTCATGTCATCTGAAAGTGAAAGAAACAGTCCAGTTTACAATTACATCCCAAAGAATAAACTACTAAAACACTTAGAAACAAACTCAGCAAAGTGCAAGACTTCTGCGCTCTTAAAGGTGTAGGGGAAGTGGGAAGGGTAGCGGGAAGGAAATAAGGGAAAAGAAAAAAATAAGAAAAAATGAAAAAAATGGAAATAAAGTTTTTGTAAATAGGGAAGGGAGAAGGGGTTGATGGGAGGGCAGGGGTAAGGGGAAAAAAGGAAAAAAGAAAAAGACTGTGCTAAAAACTACAAAACACTGTTGAAAGAAACTTTAAGAGCGCTAAGTAAATATAAAGCCTTCTTATGACCACAGACTGAAGACTTGACATTGTTGGGTAGAGAGAGCAGTCTGGGGAAGCTCAAGTCATTCATAAGCAACCTGCGCGATCTGTCTACACAGCACTGTACTCAGCATATTAGGCTGCACTGTATACGGCGTATGCAGTAATTCTTTACAGGAAAAAAGTGCCTGGGTGCTCCGGCAGCCTGAAGCTAATCCTGAAATTGAGAGGAAGGCAGAGGAGCAGAACAAATGCCAGGCCAGCCAAGGGAGACAAGAAGAAGCCTGGGGCCATCGCCCGGTGTCTGTCGAGCCACGTGTCTGGGAGGAACATCCTAGCTCTGATTGTCTTCTGCAGATGGCTGATTAGGTTCCATTGCTTCAGTCACAACTTTAACCCAGCTCACTGCACAATGCCGGTAACCAGGCACTGTGGGATCTGATTGTAGATCCGCTCTTATCGTGTTGCTGTACCTCTGAATTAGCCTTTGATCAAATAGTTGTGGTATGAAAGTCTCCTGCAAAACCTTTCTACAAAGATGTTGAAGAGACTTGTGGATGAATTGTTGGAAGAGGTTGGCCAAGAGAAACTGGTTGCTCTCTCACTGCAGATTTGGCTGGAGTCACACTTACAGAATTATTGAAAAAGAAACAGCTCAAATTTTGCCTTTTATTCCCAAGGAACACAATCAAGAGTATACAGTTCCGAGGGTTCTAAAATGATGCTGCCTGCCCTGACTTATTCTCATTTTTACCACCAAAGTAGGCATTATAGGAACCATGGGATTTGAATGGGATGTACGCTCCTGCCACCAAAACTACATCCGAGTCAGAGAAGTGCAAGCTCTAAAATCAGATCAAGGCAGCAGAGCCATAGTAAGGTTATTTAGGGAGCGCCTGGGTGCCTGCTCTTTATTAGGTCCTTTATGTTTTTGTAATTCTTGTTTTCCTTTATTGGTACATGTTTGCAGTGCATGAAGCTTATGTCCATCTTGACGGTAGTCCAGGTACGCAACACGGCTTCTGTCTTGTTTTCATGCCCTTCCCACCCGCTCCCTCCCTCTGCCTCTAAATCCCCTTTCCCCATTTTCACTCTTGTTGCCATTATTATTAGTAGCTCAGGCTTATAACATATGATGTTTACATTCATTGCGCTTACGAGATTCCCGTACTTGGCGTAACTTAATTCTCCCTACTTCCCCTTTCTCTCACCCACTTCCCTCACTCTCATTCTCCTGGACCCCTTCCCATCTGCAAGAGATCCATCCCCTTGTTTCCTCCTATCCATCCTTTATTTTAGTCTTTGTGCTTTGCCTGACTCAAATGAGAGATATATTATTTAAACTTGTGTGTCTGATATATTCACTCAGCATTATATTTTCCAGCTGCATCAATTTTCCTACAAATGTATCCAATTTATCTTTTTTATAGCCAAGTAGTATTCCATTGTGTAAAGATGCCACATTTTCTTTATCCATTCATCTGTTGATGGGCATACAAGCTATCTGTGTAACAGTTTGGGGATCTTTAATCTACAAATCACCAAAAAAATAGCATCTTCATCTTTATAGCTAAAGAAAAGAGCTCAAAAAGATTTAAGTAGCTTACCTAGTGTTGCACAGCTAGGAACTGGAAGAACTTCAATTCAAGCCCAGGTATCTCTCCCGTGAAATACACTACACCAGTCAGACCGTTGTTCAAAGTGGCAGTTATGCCCTAGTCCCCCTTTAAGACAACCGCTCACCTCCCTGCATCCATCTGAAAAACACCTCAGATTTTTTTTCTAAGTGTCGCCCTGCTTTGAACAAGTGTGTTGGTCCCTCTGGCCAAGCTGGTTAGAGTCGGGTGAGCTGCTACTCGCAGGCTGGCCCAGTGAGGCAGCCTCCAGGTTGAACAGCGGCCTTTGAAGTGAGCTGGGCCAAGAGCATCCGGCAGAAGGGAAGATGATAGTCACTTGAGCCCATCAGAGTCTCCTACCCTTACGCAGGAGATATGGGGAAGGTGAGCTAACGGGGGGTTTGAGGAATGGGCGGGACACCTGAAAACACACAGAAAGAAGAGGGCTAACCCCTGAGGGCCCAAGTGGAAGGAGAATCCATGAGTGAAGCAAAAATCCGAGGCAGCCGAAACAGACACTTACAAAGGACAGTTGATTGTGACCTGAGTGCTCGACGTAGGGACTAAGCCATTCTGAGTCAGCCCAGTGACAGGGACCAACAAGTGCCGCTCCTGGAACTGAGCGAGGCCACGAACTTGATGAGCGTGCTTCCGCTGTGCAGCTACCGCACTATGCTCCCCTGTCTTTGAGGTCAGCTGTGTGACATTCTCCAGGGACACTGTAAACCCCTCATTGCATAGTACGCTTGTTCTCAGTTCTGACTGCTTAAAGGCCCTGAATGCCCAAAGGAGGCGGATGAACACGTCCGTCCTCTCCCTCGATCACAGGGCTCTCAGTGCTACGCATCACTGCGTGGGTTTCCTGTGATCCGCCAGGGAAGCAGTCAGGGGACCTCTCACAAAGTCACTTGAGCCCTGAGTCTTCACCCACATCCAGGAGAAGTGTGAGAGGCAGACCCCTGACTCCGCGGTGCAGCAGAAGTGCAGCAACGTCCACGAGTGTTGTTTCTGCCTGGGGATGATGGCGTCTCCTCCTCTGAGGCTGCGCAGAGGTAGATGCGCCACAGCCTTGGGACTTTTGCCTGACTGCGTTTCCCTGGATGAAGCGTTCTTGCCCTCTAAGTGTTTCTTGCTACTCTTATATAGGCAAAATCAAGGGCAAAGATTCTGGAGGGAAATAAGGTCAAGAGAATGGAGCTGCTGCTCAAGGGTCAAAAACTCTATTTGAGTCCCAGAAAAAAAGGAGAATTTGTTAAAAAGCACGCTCAGCCTGCTTCTAACAGCTCTCGGCTTTGCCTCAGAAAGCACTAGGAAATCCTATTTGTCCTGACTTGATTCGAAAAGGTCTGCCAACAGCACACTTGAGCACAAAGGACCAAGCAAGCCATGCAGGCTTTCTTTGAACATCAAAGAGTCCACAGCCTTCTGGGTACCTTTGGAGGGAGGAAAAGGAAACCGGGAGGCTCTGACTCCTGTGTTGATGGTATAAAGATCAAACGGGACCCAGCGAAACATAAAGCTTCTCTTTATCTCTTGATTCCTAGAATTTTCAAACTACTCCAAGCTGCCCTAAAGCTAGGGAATTAGGGAGGAATGGAGATATCTTTCTTCGTTTAGGGAAACAGAACAGTGCACAAATTGCCACTGGCCCCAAGGAAAGCCTCCTGAAGGATTCCCACTTTCCCTGTTCTGGAGGTATTTTCTTTTGTGAGGTCTCATCATTACACATGTCGCACCTCACCCTGTCATGTCCCTGATTTCCTTGGGGGAAATGGACAACTTCCTCTTTTGTCTCTGCCACCTTTCATGCCTTCTTTAATTATAATACACATCACATTTTGTAGCATTTATTTACTTGCCAATCTATCTGATCTTTTCCTAGATTGGAATATCCCTGCAGGCAAATCCTGTGCCTCTTATTCATCTCTTCTGTTAGTGTCTAGCACAGTGCTGTGTGCGCCCTGTGAATTTAATCAAGGTTTAATTCTTTCATTCGTTAACGCCCTCCTGGAACCTCACAGAGTGATATTTCCTCCTTGTTCCTTAACATGTTCCTATCCTCATCATTTAATCTTTGCTTCACCTTTCTTCATTTATCTTTTCATATCAAATGACAGCCCCTGGGTTTGGGAGGGGACACGTTCAAACTGTAGCACGCACTGACCTAGAGTAACAAACTCAGATTTCTTCCCTAGAGCTCAAACTGATAAAACAAGTTTCCCATTCTGCTTTCCTTTGCCAGGGATGTCATCTATTCCGGCCCGTACTTTTCCTGGGAATCACATATTATATGTCAGTGTTGTCTCGGCTCTAGCTTCTTACCTTTTGAGGGTCCCAGATGAGAAGATTCACAAAGGGCATGAAGACTCGTGAAGAGGCTGGCCAAGTAAGCAACCCATGAGCAAGTCCAGCTGACCATTAGTCACACACACCCTTCTATAGCCCTTTGTTTGCAATTGTCCATAGATACATTTATACCACAGAGGCAGACTGGTTTTGACAGAGAACACATGGATTTGTGAAGCAAAACACATTTACTCTTTGATCACTTATAGAAAAACGATTACAACCTCTGCACTAGATAACCAAGCTACCAAAAACACCAGCAACTCTTTCTTTGTTCTTTTCTCCTAGGAATTACTCTCACCTTTTTGAAAGCTAATTGATGCCTTTTGAAGGAATTTTGTATCCAGAAGTGGTAGCCATATGTCCAAGAAGGTTTCTAGGACATCCTGTCCCACCACATCACCAGAAATTGAAGTGAGTCTCTTTTCTCTTAACATCTCAAAATCCTAGTCACCCTTTGAGACTCCAAACAGAAACTCCATTCTTAAAAATGCTTTCCCCAGTGACTTTTTTTCCCTCATTGAGTTTATTGGTGCATTTTAGGTATGCAGTACAGTTACATTTATCATTGGGATCTTGTACCTTCACATGACAGGTCTTGGTTCTCATTTTTTCCTCATTCCCCTGCCCTCCCTTCACCCCCTCCTCCCTTCCCTATTTACAAGTACTTTATTTCCATTTTCTCATGTTTTTTTTCTTTTCCCTTATTACTTTTCCCCTACTCTTCCTATCCCCAGTGACTTTTACCTCTTTGTTTCTCTAATGCCCTTGTGTTCTATATCCTATGGTTCAGCAATTCATTGTAGGGGTGTGTGTGTGTGTGTGCACGCGCGTGTGTGTGCGTGTTCAATTGCTGTCTCATTGCATTGAACAGGTAATTGTTCTCTTTTGCAAGGTTGTCATAATCTTAAGAACAAGATACATCATTTAGATCAAAATATTATATTGTGGGTTTAGAAATGTGGGACACCCCTGAGATACTACAGATCTCTCAAGCTGGTGGCTTAGAAAAGAACTCTTGACTGTGCCATGATGACGGAGAACATAGGAGGGAGGACTAGCAACTGTTTGGGATTTGACTGAGACAGAATGGGGTTCAAATCCCAGTTCCACAACTTTGAACAATTATCTAACCCTTCTGAACTCATCTATAGATTGTAGAGTATCTTGGAAAAAGTGAGGGACTTATAATGCACACATAAGTAAACAGCAAGGAGACCATTATCATACTGTTACAGAAATAACTTGTTTATAAATAATCTTGAGACTACACTTGAAGATGGCTTTGATTATTCCAGTACTTCATACATCCAAGCTGGAATCTGATTTGTGTTTATGTTCCCAAGTGTAAAATTTGGACAAGCCAGGGAAATACAGAAAATAGGAAATTGGAAAGTATGCATTCTTAGACCTTAGAAAAGAGCATACAGTAAAAATCTTAGTTTAAAAGCAGAATTCATTCTGGAAACATGCTTGTAATCCAAAGCACTTGGGTATCAAAGTGAATTTCTCCTTAAGAAATAATGGCAGGCCTGGGCTTACTAGTGTATCTTGTTCATTAGGGGAAAGAAGTTCATGTGTTTATGATTGTCATCTCTTCCTCTTGGATTGTTCTCTTTACAAGGATGTAGTGACCTTCTTTGTCTCTCTTAAAAGTTTTGGTTTGAAATTTACTTTGTCTGCAAATAAGATAACTATCCCCTCTTTTTTCCAGGTTCCTATCACATGGAGAACTGTTTTCCATCCTTTTACTTTCAGTCTATGAGCTTCTTTTTCAAGTTTCTTATGTACAGCATATTGTTGGGTTATTGTTGGATTTTGTTTCTTCATCCATTCTTCCAGTCTATTTCTTCTGGTTGGTGAATTGATGCCATTGACATTGATGGTTATAACAGATATGTATTGACTTATCATTGTCATATTATTTTCCTGTTATTGGTTCTTTTTTATTTTTCTCCCTCTCACTTTAAATTCTTGCCTATTAGATTTATTCTGTTGGGCCTCATGGAGTTGTGACCTTCATTGTCTTTCTAGGGTTTTTTTAAAAAGCTTGGAGTGCTGGTTTGGTAATCACGAAGTTTCTCAGGTGTTGTTGGTCATGAAAATATCTAATTTCTCCATCCATCTTGAAAGAAAGTTTTGCAGGATACATCAGCCTAGGTTGGAGGTTGTTTTCTTTAAAGCTTGAAATACCTCATTGCAGGCTCTCCTTGAAAGTTATGTTGAAAAAGTCTGTTGAAAGTATGTTGTGATTCTGATGGGCTTTCCTTTGCATGTAATTTTTTTTTCTCTAACTGCTTGTAGTATTTTGTACTTCTGTTGGGTTTCTGGGGTCTTGATTATTATATGTGTAGGTGTAGATTTTATTTTTATCATATTATAGTTGGAGCCCTATATGCCCCACTTATCTGTATGTCAACTTCTTTTGCTCTGTTTGGGAAGTTTTCTATCATTAATTCTGTTAACAGTTTTTTAAATGTCATTTGTGCTTTTTCCTGCTATTGTGTGGACTCCTCTTAATTTTATTCTTCTTTGCATCATATAGGAGTTGTTGGGTTGATTTCCCATGTTCCTTACTATTTTTAAGAGATTTCTCTTTTCATGGTCCCTGACTGCCATCCTGTCTTGTATATCTGATATTGTCTTCAGATTGGGTGGCTTTGCTATGTGTCCTTTCAATGGAGTTTTTAATCTCCTGAATATCAGTTTGAATGTTTCATGGTTTCCATTTCTTTCCCATGCTGAGCATTCATGGCTTCCATCATGGCCCTGAACTCATCTATTTTTTTATATGTTTCTTTTCTAGAGTCTCTAATCATGTCCTTTATCTGGGAAATTATTTCTGTTTTGAATATTTCTAGAGCTCCACTCATGTTCTTTTGCTTCCTGTGCTGTCAGTTCAGATTGCCTAAGTGATTGATTATCAGACTTTTCCACCTCATTTTCCCCAGAATGTGTGTTTTGTAAGCTGGAAGACTGTGTCTTGTATAAATGTCTTTTCATTTCTATTACTGTTGTTGGTAGAGTCCTTAGTTTAATTTCTGGGTTGATACTTAGATATTTATTATAAGTATCTTTGTTGCTTGTATTTAGAAACCTTAAGGAATGATTGCTTCTCAGAGGTGTCTTCCAGATATACCTGGTCTTTAGGATTTGAGTCTCTAATAACTCTGGAGCAATCTCATTTTCATTATACCAGGAAATATAACAGATTAGAACAATCACAACACTAGCCCAAGTGATACAATCAGCAACAACAACAGAATCAAACACATCTTAAAAAATGATAATTTGTGGTAGTTATTAATCTATAACCTTTAACTATTTGAAATAAAATGAAATCGAAGACTAGCCCAAAATATGTTTATAATGAATAAACTGATCAATATAGTAACTTCACCCTTCAGGCTGGGGACTTAGAAGGACCAAGGCCCTCTTACTATTCTTCACCTCTGCTCTAACTCAGGGCAACGGCCTCGAAGACCCCCTGTGCCTTGCAGTTTAGATGAGGAACAGGGTTAGCCAGAAGCAGGGGTGGGAGGTGGAGGTGTTTGGGTTGTACTCCAGTCCTCACTGGGTCTTCTGGTGTTTTTCACTGCACTTATCCTGGCCCTTAGTAACCCACATCCACTGTAGCATCCTATCTTCAATTATCTGTAGTTCATCCTGGTTCCAGCCTGGACACTGTCGCTGTTTCAGCACGCCTGAGACAATCTTGAATCAGACCATATCTGCAGAATAGCGTCCCCAAGCACAAGCTCATTTTCCAGAGGACCCTTGAAAAAGTTAGGCCTCAGGCAAAGAGAGGTGGCAGGGTCCATCACCTGCAGAATGCTGTGTGGTCCCCAAGTCTCTACATATGTGGTATATAACAGACACTGGGCTAAACAGTGGGTAGGATCCATAGATAAGGGCCTGGTCCTCAAGGAGCCTGGATAAAACTTTTATCCATAGTGGCTGCCATGTAAAGTGCAATGTGACACATGACATAAAGTTGCACAGAAACATTTGGAAGTTCACAGGAGGAAGAGGTTTCATTCTGCTGCGGGATCATGGAGGGTCTCCTACAAGTAAAGAAGTGTGTGCTGAGTACATGTGCTGGGCTCATGGAGGAGGAAGATGGAGAGTAGCGTCATGTGGCCTGGCTCTACTGGATTACTGAGCCCCAACCAGGGCAGGGGAGTGAACTTGGGAGGCATCGGGTGTGCCTGCAATCACAACCACTGCTATTGTGTGGCCCTTTAAAATTTGTGGAGTGGTTTCTTGTGAATTGAGCTTCACAATGGCTGCAAAATCCAGAAAATTTTGGATAAAGAAACTGGGGCTCAAAAAGCGTTTGAAGTGACTCACACAAGGTTATTCAGTGGCAAGAACTGGCTTTAAGTTGGGAAAATAGCAGTACTATGCACGAGAAGGTATTAAAATACCATAACTGTGTGTTGATTGCACCCTAGTTGCCCAAGGCTAATTTTAAAAGTTTGTTCTTACATAGTTTTAACATTCCGCTGAGTAAATAATTTTCCAATATTGATTTGCATTGTAAGTCATTTCTTCAGGTAACTACCAGTTTAAATTTCAGCCTTGACTTTGTGAAAATCAGCCAACTCTAAGTTACATTGAGTGAGTGAGTCACTCAGGATTTAAATACTGTATATAGATCTTTGTGCTAGGTCACCTGTGCCTGTCCCAGTAGTACTAGTTCTGTAGTTTTTCACAGAAACTTTTAACCATTTTCGTGAAGTCCTTATAGTACACTCTTAGTGTAGTGTAGTCCCCAGGATTCTCTCTCTCTCTCTCTCTCTCTCTCTCTCTCTCTCTCTCTCTCTCTCTCTCTCTGTTTCTCTTGCTTGAGTGAAAATTTAAAAAAGAAGATGGCTTGGATACATCTTTATGAGTGAAGTGACTGAATTACTACATTCTCTGTATTTTGAAATTCTTCTCCAAATGCGCAGAGCAGTTGAGAAAATTGGTCAATTAAAAAATACTTGCTTCCCCTGAGATGCCTAGTGTTGATCAATGGTGTGCTTGTATTGCTTTTGCTTTCTGATTTCTGTTTACTTGTTTGTGAGGAGGATGTTGGTTTTGTTTCATTTTGCTTTTGCCTTGCAATCTATGTGGTGCCTTCACATGAACTTGACAGTCACAGCCCATCTGAGAAATCTGAACCCCACAGTACACCACTAGAGGAGCAGACAGGACAGTCAGCAGCAGAGAAAAGGAGTGTTAGGCTTGGAGCCGGTACACGGTGCTTAGTAGACCAAGCACAGACAAAAGTCCAGAACCTTCTCATCCCCTGTACTGTGCAAACTGCATATCCAAAGGTATTTCCAAAAACCCAAAGAAATAAAATAAAACAAAAATAAAAATAGCCAACACTGTGTTAGAGCAGTAATTAATCCTTCCAGCAGGGCCTG